TGTCTCGTGTCAGACTCCTCAGTATCTGAGCTGAGTTTAAAAGCTTAAAAAAAAAAAGGCCCTGGCCTGGTGGCCGAGCTGGTTGGAGTACACCAAAAAGGTTGCGGGTTTGGTCCCCAGTCAGGGCCTGGATGGGAGGCAGCCCATCCATGTTTCTTTGTCACGTCCATGTTTCTCTCTTGCCTTTCCTTTGTCTAAAATCAATAAACATATCCTCATGTGAGATTTTAAAAAGCTAAGAAAAAGAACAAAAGTTTTGCCCTGACCGGGCAGCTCCGTTGGTTACAGCATCACCCCAATACGCTAAGGTTGCAGGTTCCACCCCCCCGTCAGGGCACATAACAAGAATTAACCAATGATGCATAAATAAATGGAACGACAAATTGATGCTTCTCTCTCTCAAGTCAGTTAAGTTAAAAAATTTTTTAAAAGAACAAAAATTTTGACTTTTGGGTATATTACTATCTTTAACCAAAAGTCAACTTATATATAGGTCATTTAATCCATGTATCAGAACACGTTTTTTAAAAAAAAGATTTTTATTGATTTTTAGAGAGGGAGGGAGGGGAGAGAAATACCCATCAATCGGCTGCCTCCTGCACACCCCCTACTGGGGATCAAGCCTGCAACCCGAGCAGGTGCCCTGACCAGGAATCTAACCGTGACCTCTTGGTTCATAGGTCAATGCTCAACCACTAAGCCATGCTGGCTGGGCTTAGAGCACTTTTGAAACCATATGAAAGCTCAGGTCACAGGTCCACTTAAGTCACGAGTGGCTGTGGGCACAGGCTGAGCCCTGAGCTCTGTTCCTCTGGGTTGGGGGCCGAGGAAAGGCTGAGCTGCAAGTGCCCACAGAGGACAGCGACCGGATTGACAACCCAACCCCAAATAGAAACCTGGACGGTGCCCTCTCCCACCACAATCCAGGGCCCTCGCTCCTCTTTCTCTCCAGCCCGCACCCTATTCTGCTCCTCTAGTGGCCTCTCAGGTCAGCCCTCTGCTCAGTGCTTCCCGGACCTGCCACCTGTGGTGCCCCCGGCCACCGCCCCATCTCTCCTTCACTCCCGGCCCAACCAATGTCTGGTGCTCTGATTCTTCAGTTCTTTTCCAAGATGAGGAGGCTGGAGCAGGAGAGAACGGGCCAGGTTCTGGTGAGTTCTGTGGCTTTTGGATGATTCCAGACCCTACATTCTGTGACTGGCTTCGAAGCCTTGATGTGTGGACCTGACAAGTCAGCCAGGCTGTGCCAGACTGAAGCTCAGGGCCCCAGGCAGTGCCAGGACAGGCCCTCATGTCCATTTTATAGAGAGGAAAATTGAGGATGGGAGAGCAAAGACACCCCAAGAAGCCAGATCAGCAATAGCTGGACAACACCTGAGCTATGTCCACCACCAGAGACAGTCCTCAGGCTCCCCAGTGGGAAAGAAATGTCAACACAATCTCAAGCACAAAGAAGCCTTTATTGGCTCATGAATAGGAATGATGGGCTGGACTGGCATGGAGATGACATGTCAGGGCTGTCTCTCCTCTTGTGCAGGTGCCGGGGTTGGGCATCAGACCCAGGCCCCTACAGACTTGGACGCCCCAGTCCTGATTACAATGTCCTGGGAAGGGCTCTGAGCTGATCATACTCCTGCCTCCTGGGCCATTATCCAGGTCAAAGGGTGCCCTGGGGAGGGACATGGTTGGCATGAGGGATAAGTGGGCCCTTGAAGCAGCAGGGCAGCCAGAGCCTGCCCCTGAGGGCAGCACCCCAACCTGCGTCTGCCAGGACAATTGGCTAAGGCACTGTGGCTGGGCTGTGTTGTGTTCGATGGTCACAAATGTGCCAGGGACCCCGACTCTCTCTGGACATGTGGCAGACAGAATGTGGCTACTTTTTCCTCCGGGAGGTCTGAGAGCCACTGTTGTGGTTGTTGGTGGCTGGAGCAGCCTGGTCAGTGGCAGCTCCCGGGTCCTTCTTGGGTGCTGGCCTGTGTTTCTCCTCCCTGGGGGGAGGGGAGGACCGGGGCCCCAGAAGGGCCTGCATGACCCTAATGGCTCCCACTGTGAGGATGAGTCCCCAGAGCAGGGTAGGGGCTTCCAGGGAAAACAGCTGTTTCCGTACCCAGTGGAGGGCGTGGGCAAGACTGTTGTTGGAGCTGCGGGCCCTGCGTGGGCTCTTGTCCTGTGGGGGCAGGATTGAGGGTGGTGAACAGGGGTCATCCCTGTGGGTGGAGGTGATCCCTGCCACCTCCCCCAGCCTAACTAATCCTTCCTACCTGGAGGCCAAACTGCCTGAGCAGTGAGTCCAGCTTTGGGTCCCCCAGGGACACAGGTGGAAAGAACTCCTCTACCCACTGGCGTCGCCACCACTGGCTGTAACAGGACGGGGTGTTCAGGAGGCATGGAATCCCTAGCCCCGCCCCCCCCATGCCCCAGCCTTACCTCTGCTCTCCAGGCTGTGAGAACCAGTACTTGTAGCGATGGGCCCGCACGTAGGTGGGTGGCTGCTTATGGAAGGGGTACCTGGCCACGTCGTTCTGGATAAGGCGGATCACTGTGGGGGGGATCACTAAGCAGGCTCAGCTGGTTGCTCCCTCAGACCTGCCCACAAGCCCCCCCAGTAAGCCCAGATCCTTTGCACCTGGCCTCACCTGGCTCACTGCCCTGCAGCAGGCAGAGCACCAGGCTCGTGAACCACGGGCTGTGCGTGTGTGGGCCCAGGGCTGCAAACCACATCTGCCAATCAAGGCGCGGCTGGTGGGGCACCACAACTGGGGGCGGCCGGCTCACGTTCCCAGGCTTGTACATGAACTCAATCTCCTGCGTGCCAAGCCCAGCCGGGTTGTGAAGGTAGCTGGACCCAGGTTCTCCACCCTTCCTTCCCCCCAACCCTATCCCGGGGTTCCTCGCCCATGGAGCACTCACTGTCCACTGGTGCCCGTCATAGCTGCCCTCCAGCACCACCTCAGGCCGCCCACCCAGACCGGTCATCCGTCGGAAGAGGCCATAGGAGTTGGCCAGCTGCAGGTGCTCCACGGTCCCAAACAGGCTGTGTGCCCCAGTCCAGAGGCGCCCATGGGTGGAGGGCTCCATGTAGGAGTATGGCACCTGGAGGCAGGTGGGCAGAGGCTCAGCGCTGCTCCTCCAGCACCCTCCTAATCCCCTTTCCTGGTCCCCTGTGAAGTGTTACCCACCAGGCTGACCAGGAACATGGCCACGGTGGCAGCGCCAAAGATGGACAGCTGGACTGCAGTACAGAGCTGCCGGAGCCACCCTCGCACCTGGGTCCACCTGGGGGTTGGAAGCCAAGTGCAGTCAACCCTGCTCTGCACAGCTCTACAGCCCTCCCACCCCACACCTGCATATACCTCCAGAGGGCAGCTAGCAGTTCCCAGGCGAGGGAGGCGCCCCCCAGCCACATGGTAGGCAGGGTCACCATCTTCAGCCACTGGGAGAACTGGTGGAAGGTGAAGGCTGTGGAGGAAGGGGTGTGAGGACGGCCATCCAGTCCAGCCCCTGCCCTCTGGCATCCAGCTGGCACTCACTGGTTCTGGAGTGGACGGTGTGCTGCTCCCAGTCAACCTCCAGGCCAAAGTAGTGCACGGTGCCATAGGCCAGCAGCCCATAGACAGTCAGTTCCAACAACAGGCCCAGCAGGCCCAGCAGGGCCTTGGGCCAGGCTGCAGGGCAAGACAGTGGTGGTCAGCTGGGAACAGGACTGGAGGATGGGTAGTCGGGAGACTGGGGAGCTAGAGGAGACGCCAGTGGGGTCTACCGAGGGAAAGAGACACCCTGGTTGTAGCGCAGCTGGCGAGTGAAGACCACTGGCTGTCAGGACAGGTGACACTCACAGGCAGGTGTCTTTTTGTGGCGGCTGTTGCCAGACTCGGCAGCCAGGTGCTTGTCATCCAAAAGGGAGGTGGTAAGCACCATGGTGAGCAGGTTGAAGAAGTTGTAGTTACCAGTGATGATAATCAGGACTTGCAGCAAGACCTGGGGGAGGGTCTGTGCTCAGTCTCTGGATGGTGGCCCCCTGCCTAGGCCCTTCAGAGCCTGCACCCCACACTTAGGTCTCTCCTGCTGGCATCCCACCCCCTCTTCAGTATCTCCTGGCCTCTGTTCTGTCCCTTTTGCTCATACCGACCATGGCTCCCCAACATCACCTGGAGAAAACCCAAGCTCAGTACACCTCATGCCCCTGCTGACCTGAGTCTGACATCCTCCTGCAAGGCTGTGCTCTGCCCACAGGCACACCCTCACACCTGGAGCTCATCAGGCCCTCTACCCACAAGGCCTCCTAACTGCCAGCAGTGGCTACCCTGTCCCCACCAGGACCCACCAGGTAGTGCAGAAGATAGCCATGTCCTGCCTATCTCCTGATGGCTGGTGGCCTACTCACCTGGGAGTAGAAGGCAGCCAGACGTAGGCGGCGAGCAGGGGCAAAGAACAGAGGGGGCACCGCGATCTCGATGAGGAAGGTGGCCACCACGCTGAGCTTGTGCAGCCAGACAGGCAGGTGGTGGGCAAACCAGGAGGCAGGCGTGGGCAGGCACTGCGTCTCGTAGTGGTAGGTGAGGGCTGCAGGTGACAGTGGGTGGTCAGGGTTGGGCAGAGCCCCCAAGACTGCCCCAGGTGTAGGCTGGGACTCTCACCAGTGAGCCCCCACCACGCGGGGCAACGGCTGGTCAGCTTGACCACACCCGAGGCGAACATGAGGCGAAACAGCAGCCAGCGCACGAGCCAGAAGGGGAGGCCTTCGTGGGGTGAGGCCCCAGCTAGCCTGCCCTGCAGGGGCTGCTTATGGTAGGGAGGCTGCCTCAGGGGGGCCACCAGCACAGCCAGGAAGCCAGTCTCCAGCAGCAGAGAATCCCTACGGGGAGAAGAGCACAAAGGGCCCCCTCCCCATCAAGGCTGCTCCCCTCAGAGGACTCTTCCAGGAGAGTCAAATACCCTCTGGCCCACCCTCCAGCCTCCTGAAGCCCCACACCCATCACTCACCACTGGAAATAAAGAAACACCTGGCCCACCTGCAGGGAGAAGAGCTGTCAGGGAGCAGGGGGTGTATGTCTGGGGAAGCAGGCAAGGCAGAACGGGTGGGGAGGAGGGTAGATGGGGCTGAAGTGAGTTGGTGACAAGGTTCCCAGTGGTGATAAAGGGGCAGCAGGCAGCCCCCACTTGCCTGGCAGACCGACAGGTAGGCGGCCCAGAGCAGCAGGTAGATGAGGCTGTGGCGCAGCTGGCGCAGCAGCAGCGCACCGAGGGCCAGCAGGGTGCCTAGCAGACACAGCAGCTCCAGGCCCTGCGCGGTGTCCAGCCCCAGTCGTGGCGCCTCCCACAGCAGTGTCGGGGTGTCCCACAGCTGCTGCCAGGGCCCCTTGCCCTGCGGTCGCAGTGTCCTTCGTGCAGGAAGGATGCCCTCCGTGCCATACAGGCCTGTGGGAGGGCACGTCAGGGCCAGGTCCTGGGCGCTGTCCTGAGAGGCCGGACTTCCCCCACCAGTCAGGGCCTGCACACCTGATCCTCAGGGCAGCGCCTGCAGGCCTTCCCTGCCCACCTGGGTCAGGACTGCTGACTCTAACCCCAACAGGTCAGAACCTGCGGAGCGTCCCCTGCCCCAGGCCAGGCTCCCCACCCCACCCCCGCACTCCGCAGGCCAGGGTCTCCTACCGCGCGGAGAGCACGGCTCCCCTCTCCTCCAGGTTAGAGCCTAGGTCCTACCTGCCCACCGGGTCTGCACCCACCTACCTACGGGCTCTGTCCCTCGCCCCAGGTCAGAACCCGAACCCTACGGGAAACGGACCATTGCAAGGCCTCTGCCCCCCAAGCCCTGCATCCCGCAGGCCACGCACCGCAGCCTCCCATCCCACGCATCAGGGCCTGGACCTCATTCCCGCCCCCAGACAGCGGAGTGTCGGGCGGGGCGAGGAGAGGGCACCGGGCGCCGCTTGGGGGCGTCCCGCGCTCGGAGCGCTCACCCGGGATCTGCGTATAGAGGGAAGCGAAGGCGAACAAGAAGACGGCGGCCACGCCCT